ACGAGGTAGACAGATCAGACAAAGGTCAGTTCTTATTGGTGGGTGGAATGGGGAAAGATAGGGGGAGGGCTATAGCAGATAAGACGGTTCCCTCGTTACAAACAACCAGTGGAATTGGTACCATTTGAATGAAAATAAAAAATATGCAAAATACGTGTGCACAAGGTGTCAATGGATTAAAGTGTTTGTTCACCAACGCCAAAAGTCTGCCAAGCAAAAGAGGTGAGTTGGAAGCTTTGGTGCATGAACAGAACTATGATTTAATTGGTATTGCTGAATCTTTATTCTTCGCATGACTGGGCCATTAATATTCCTGGCTATGTTGTCTTTCGGAGAGACAGGGTAAATAGGGAAGGTGGTGGTGTCTATCTCTATGTGAGAAGTGATCTCAGAGCAAGTGTGAAAGAGCATCTAGTTGATGGAGAATGTGATGAGGCTGAAGCATTATGGGTGGAACTGCACATGGGGGTGCGTACTACAAAGGTAATCATTGGAGTTTGTTATAGACATCTCAGTGTTAATGAGGAAGTGGAGACTCAGCTCCTTGCAAATATTGATAATAATGGGGGATTTTAACTATCCGGAAATTGACTGGAGTAATGGTACTGCAGGAACAGTTATAGAGCAAAAACTTTTAAACCTACTACAGGACAATTTTGTGGTATGGTTCATAAAGGCCTCAACTAGGAATGATGCTTTGTTGGACCTGGTAATCTCAAACCATGTAACCATATAAAAGAACATCTGGGTAGCAGTGACCATAACATTATTTAATTTACTGTTAGCTGTAAACAGCAAACACATATGGGAAAAATAAAAAATGCTCAATTTTAAGAGAGCTAATTTTCCAAGGCTGAGAGCTGCTCTCCAAGGCTTAGACTGGGAGGGAATACTGGCATCAATGCACACAACACAGAAATGGGAGTTCTTCAAAAAGACTGTATGTGAACACACTGCAAAATATATTCCCATTGGCAACAAGTTTAAAAGGCTAAAAATCAAATCTATGTGGCTTACAGCCAAAGTTAAAAAAGCTACACATAATAAGAAAAGAGCTTTTATTAAATATAAAAATGAAGGTACGCTATCATTGTTTAAACATTACAAAGAATATAACAGAATATGCAAAAAGGAAATAAAGGCCGCAAAAATTGAAAACGAACGACAGATTGCAAAAGATAGCAGGACCAACTCCAAAAAATTCTTCAAATATATTAATAGTAAAAAGGTCCGGTCCGAGCATGTAGGCCCTTTACAAAAAAATCTAGAGTGGGTGACTGGGGACAAAGAGAAGGCAAATTTATGAAATACTTTTTTCAGCTCTGTGAATACAAAGGAGTATGGGAGAGTTCTTGTCCATAACAGGCATGGTATTGGCACAGATACAGATGATCCACATTGACTCACAATTGATATGATCCAAAAATATTTAGACAGAATAAAGGAGAATAAAGCATCTGGACCGGATGGCATACACCCAAGGGTCCTTAAAGAATTGAGCTCTGTCATTTCAAAGCCATAGTTTCTAATTTTTAGGCCTTACGCCAATCCAGTGGTACTATGCCAAAGGGGTCAAAATCTTTACCAACTAATTATAGACCTGTTAGTTTGACTTCTATAGTTAGGAAGATACTGGAGAGGGTAATAAAACAGATTAGTTCTTGCTGGAAAAAAAATATTTTAAGCAGCAGACAGCATGGATTCATGAAAAATAGAAGTTGTCAAACAAATATGATTTCTTTTTATGAGGTGAGCAAAACCTTGGACAGAGGGGTGGCAGTGGATGTGGTATACTTGGATTTTGCAAAAGCATTTGACACAGTTCCCCATACTCGGCAAATGTGTAAGGTGAAGTCTACAGGCTTGGAAAAATCCCTATGTAAATGGATAGAAAACTGGCTAAAAGATTGCATTCAGAGAATAGCGGTTAATGATTCATACTCTGAATGGTCTAGGGTTATTAGTGGTGTACCCCAGGGTTCAGTGTTGGGACCCTTACTTTTTAAATATATTTATAAATGATATAGAGTCTGGGATAAAAAATATAATTTCAGTCTTTGCAGATGACACCAAGCTGTGCAGTAGAATAACGTCCTACAGGATGTCAACAACTTACATGCCGACCTCAACACACTGTTTAATTTGGCAACTATGTAGCAAATGAGGTTTAATGTTGATAAATGTAAGGTCATGCAGTTGGTGGAGAAGGATCTGGGAGTTCTGGTAGATCACAAGCTTAATGGCATGCAATGCCAAGTTGCAGTTTCTAAAGCGAGCAAAATACCCTCTTGTAATAAAAGAGGTATAGACTCCAGACAGAGATTTCATTTTACCCCTGTACAAATCATTAGTAAGACCTCATCTGGAATATGCAGTTCAATTTTGGGCACCAATTCACAAAAAGAATATTGGGGAACTGGAGAAAGTATAGAGAAGGGCAAAATGATAGGAGGCATGGAGGAGCTCAGCTATGAGGATAGATCAGAGGAACTGAATTTATTCTCTCTTGAGAAGAGGAGATTAAGGGGGGATATGATCAACATGTATAAATACATCAGTGGTTCATATAGTAAACTTGGTGTAGAGCTATTCACCCTGAGGTCATCACAGAGGACAAGGGGGCACTCTTTACATCTGTAGGAAAAGAAATGTAATCTCCAAACACCGAAAGATTTCTTCACAGTAAGAGCTGTGAAAATGTGGAATAGACTCCCTCAAGAGTTGGTTATGGCCAGCTCAGTGGATTGCTTAAAAAAAGGCCTGGATTCTTTCTTGGACACACAAAATATAACTGGATACTAACATTTATAGGTAAAGTTGATCCGATTGCCTCTTGGGGGATCAGGAAGGAATATTTGCCCCTACAGGAACAAATTGGTTCATGCTGTGCTGGTGTTTTTTGCCTTCCTCTAGATCCATTGGGTGTAGGATTATAGTTTTTTTTTTTTTTTTTCGAATGTTTGAACAGGATGGACTTTTGTCTTTTTTCAGTCGGTTTCTTAGTACCCAAGGGGGCATGGAGGAATGGAGGAAAATCAAGTTCTTATGGTTTTGCACACAGCAGAAGTGAGCTTGTCTACCTTAGCAAGCATGTTGTGTGAAGCCATTACATTAGGTGCATGAGAGGCTGGGGAAATCTTCTGAGGCCTTTTCTAACACTACCTCAGGGTCCTCTTCATTCCTCTCAATATCTGTGTCCTCTAGATGAGTGATAGCTGTATTAAGTTAGTTGTCTGAGAAAGTCTGACATGGTTGCATAAAAATCCACCTTTTAAGCTGGTGTTAAAATAGTGTCCTGCTCAAGTGAGGTTTGAGCGTTTAATAGGCCTTCAGCATAGCAAATGTTTGTCTGAACTTTAGCAGCAGTTTACTTGTGCCTGATCTCTGCCACTGCTAACGCTCCAGGCAAAAGTGATGGTAATAATGCAACACCTTAGTCATCCACCCAAGACTGGACTCTGAATACTAGCATGTTACCACCAAATTTAAAAAGTTAAAACACCACACAAGTGAATACATTTTAAACACAATTCCTGGTTTCCTTATAGTTTTATTGTACACTATATACTATTTTGGAAACCTGTAAAAAGTGGAGCTACAGTATCGGTCCAGTACAGGGTAAATCTGTCTTACCAATTTATGTTACTGGCCCCTAATCAGGGTCTGGGTTTCGCCCATCATACCCCGGGAGGGTTCTTCAGGGTCTGAGTTCCAAAGAGATGGACCACAGCCCTGGACCTGCATAGCATTCTGTGGCTAATTACACGCACTACACTAAGTGCTGAGGGAGCGCCCAAGCAAGATCCAGTGTCTGAAGCAACATTACAGGTTGTACCCATAAAGTTATACCAAGGTAGCACAAATCTAGATGCACTGCTTTTAGTGTTAAATTAGAAGACAGTGAAGAGTTGATTGACGAATCCAAAGCTAAGTAAACTTGTGAAGCAAATGATTTCTCCGTACGGAGAAGAGGTCCATCACCTTAAAACAATAGCCAAAAACTGAGCACTCATGCAGTTGTGTAGGGTTACAGGGAATACACCTACAGGGTGTCTCCAAGAAAACTTTGTCCAATCACCTGAATGTACCAGCCTATATTCCTGAGTCTATGAATATGCATCCTGTGGCCTCTACTACACTATTAAAGTGGTATTAAACCCCAAACTAAAAATGTTATATGTTGCAGTTTACCAATGATTAGATGTGGTGGCTGCATTAGTTTTATTTCTTAGGCTTTTTTCCTTCTGTTCTCACCTGGTGATCTGGCTAGGGGCACACCTCCTGCCCTTCAATGCCCCCACTTTGCATGAGTAACCACAAGGGGCACCTTTGGACACCAGCTTTTTCAATGCGGGGGGGAAGGGGGGGGGGGGTGTTAGATGTACTATTGAAATTGAAATTGAGATTGAAATACACTAACAAACTGAAGCCAAACTCCAGATAACACTTTATAAGTAGTTACAGCAAACAGTTTTTTCATTTTGGGATAAAGGTTTTACATAAATAAAAGCTGATCATTGTAAGCACCCCTGTCAGTTGTAAATGGTTTGTCTCATCTCCATAACTGATACATCTACAAAAGAGCTTGTTCTTTAACCACTGACCTACAGGGCACTTATATCCCCTTCTTGCCCAGGCCAATTTCCAGCTTTCAGCGCTGTCACACTTTGAATGACAATTGCGCAGTCATGCAACACTGTACCCATATGAAATTTTTATCTTTTTTTTTGTGACAGATAAAGTTTTATTTTGGTGGTATTTAATCACCTCTGGGTTTTTTATTTTTTCTTAAACAAACCAAAAACCACTGAAAATTTTGAAAAAAATGTTTTTTCTTAGTTTTTGTTATGAAATTTTGTAAATAAGTGATTTTTCTCCTTCACTGATGTGCGTTAATGAGGCTGCACTGATGGACACTGATAGGTGGCACTGATGAGGAGGCACTGGTAGGTGGCACTAATGGGCATTAACAGGCATCACTGATGGGCACTGAAAGGCAGCACTGATACATTGCACTGATAGGCGGCAGGCTGGCACTGAGGCGGTGCACTGACTGGCACTGATTGGCATTGATAGGTGGCACTGACTGGCACTGATGTGTGACACTGAAAGGCAGCTCAGATGGGCACTATGTGGCATTGATGTGCACTGGTAGGCACTGATATGTGGCACTGATGGGGACTGGCACGAGGCACTGATGAGCACTGACAGCTGGCACTGCTCGGGCTACACTGATCATCATGGCACACTGATCATCAGTGCCCTGATGATCTGTGTACATGTCCCCTCGCGGAAAGCCGATTACCGGCTCTCCTCTCCTCACGAGCTGTCAGCATGACAGCTCGAGAGGAGAGAAATGCCGATAACCGGCATTTCCCCGTTTACATGTGATCAGCTGTGATTGGACACAGCTGATCACATGACCAATCTGACATCTTCGGCTCTTTCCGTGATCGGTGATCCGCTGTGTCCGAGGGACACAGCGCATCGCCAATTGCCGCGCTGCGTGCTCCCTGAGCCGCGCATGCGCAGTGAGACTGGGAGTCATATGACAACCTCCCAGAACGAGAGAACCACCTTGCGCCCGTCATATTACTATATGGTGGGCGGGAGGTGGTTAAAAAAAAAGACAAGATGGATAGCCGGAAAATAGAAGAAAGAACGCCTAAAAAAGAAAACCTAATGCAGCTACCACATCTAAGAATTGGTAAGGTGCAATATAAATGTTTGCTTTTGAGTTTTAGTGCCATTTCAAGATTTTACATACATGCCTCAAGTTTCAAAACTCAATAGTTTTATAGGGTTTCTTTAAAATTTTGTGTACATTTAGTGCCCATAAATATCTTAGAATTACTCCAGAGATCCTCAGCTGCATTCATTTCCTTAACGCCGGTGTATAAAATTAATTCTTCTCTCTCAATGTCTCCCCTTGTAGCCATTCACCCTGATGTAATGAGAGCAGAGACTACAAGTGTAAGTGTTGAAGGATAAACATGCTTCTCCTTTCTGGCCACTGCATTGTGCAGATTTTAGCTGTGCTGATCAGTTGTTTGATTACTGTTCCAGAAGCAGGTCCGAATGTATTTAGGCAACTAATGGGCAGACTGCATAGCTACAATTTACACCATGCAGTGGCCAGCCCCCCTCCCTGGAACTACGCATCTACAGAGTACCTAGGGAAGTGTTTTTTCATGCTGGCTCAAAATGAACAGCAGCACAATGACAGGGGAGCTGCAAGGACAATGGTTAATGTAGTTCTGCAATCAGCAGGAAGCTGATGCATCACCCCTTCCCCTTCTGGCATTTATAAAGAGCTGGAAATACTTAAAAAAAAAAACAGCAGCTGCAGCTACAGGGTTGGACTATGGATATGCACACAGTTTTAAAGATGGAGAAACATTTTTCATATATGTTATTTATTTTGGGAAAGGGCCAGAAACTTTACTGTGTTTGATTTTTCTGTCAAATTTTAAAAGTTTGTGTCCACTTTCAGTTCTATTCAATGCCCATCAGCTGCACAAGAAATGAGGGGAAATCTCTTCCATGCGTACAGACAACAATACAATTCTAAACCTACTAACACCATTAGGAAATAAGTGGAAACTCCCAAATAGGACACTAATTAAAAGCTGACAACCTTTCACTATATTTTTAGTGATATTTCACTAAGTGAAAGAAGGGAAACCAGCCTAAAAGAAAACGAATGCAGCCACCACATCTAACGATTGGTAAGCTGCAAGATATTATATTTTTGGTTTTGGGTTTAACGACATCCCCGACGACCAATATAGGGGACATGGTTTGATGCAGACTCAAAGACACATTCTGTATTCCTTTCCAGACGGAGATATGAGCACCTTTGTATTCTAATTTTTCAAGAATTACATTTATTGCTGACCCTATGGGTCTGTCTCTTCTGTCTGAGATTGTAATAGAACATATCACTCCCCTAACAAAAGTCTGATTGAAGTTCCTAAGAAAAGTTAGCAGATACACTTAAAGTGAAACTTAAATGCAAAAAGAGAATTTGTTCTGTTTAAAGCCTTGCGCTTTCATTTTATTTTTGCTTTAGTATCATACTGCTGCGCAGTGATATGACTGAAATGTCACTTTGTGCACCCAATAAAATTGACACACAAAAAAAAAAAAAGAAAAAAGAAAGAAAAGGCAAGTGTGTGATGTGAATAAAAGTGCTCACTACAGCCGGAGCAGACAGCTACTGCACACTAAATCTCTGCGATTTAGTGTATGAGGCAGTGTGAATGGGCCCTAAGTCAGAGCTAGACTTCTCCATTGATGAGTGAGTATGACTGAGTGCAGCCCGCTACATCAACTGTACTTGTACTCAGAAAGGACGATGTCAGACTGCTGCTCTCGCTCAGAATATAGATGGGGTCATTCTTTGCAGTTGACTGCTGATAAGTGTTTGGGCTCACTGTGGAACATGGAAGCATATTTATAAATAAGCGAATGTGACATGCAAACATTCACAGCTGGTTAATTATGACAATCATTTTAAACACTTGCCCTACATGTAGTGAATATTTGTTGAATGCCACATTTACTGATTTATACAAATATACCCCTTAATATTTCTAATTAAGCTATCTGATCAATATTAAACGTATCTGCTGACTTCAGCACAATATAGAGGTCAATTACTTTTTCAAACACAGAGCTAAATGGTGAAGGATACACTTGATTATTCAATAATTAAAAAACATAACAAATCTGTAAACTGTTGAAGTGTTACTAAACCCATGACTCTGCATTCAATATATCTCCCACAGTATACAGAACATGGAAATGCAAGTAATTTAATAAATATGAACTGCTAACTACCTTTTCTCATCAGCAGTATATAGCAGTCTTGTGACTTCTATCAGTGTTTACCTGAGCACTGGTAAAGCTTGTAGGAGGAGTTTTCGTTCTCCCTTGATTGTCCCAGTGCTGATCACATGCACTCTCCCAAAAAAAAAAAAAAAAACTCTTCAGCAATACACACCAAACTGAGCATGTGCAGAGTGACTCCTAGGGTTCTGTGCTATCAGCAGATGAATTGGGGACAGTAGAAGGCGAGGATCAGAGGAGACAGCATCAAACAGCCTTTTTACACAATGTGGAAGATTGACCCTTTTGGATCCACAGTGAGTATAAAGAGCATGCTTTACTGCATATGCAGACTGATTTTACTGTTGTGGGTTTAGTAACACTTTAACTGCTGACTTTAGCTTTACTATAAGGCAATATATTTTCTATCATTAGCCTACATCATGGTGAATAACTCGGGTGAGTATTAAGGCGTGCCCGGTACAAAAGTTCATATCACTCAGAGGAGGTCTTTTTGAAATTTTATTGGTAAGGAGCATCAAGTAAATGCAAGGAGTTTCAGGGGAAAGATCTCCCCCTTCCACAGGGCTGGAGCAGTAGATGTAAATAGAATCACAATGAGATGCAATGGAAGACATATATTACGGCTTGATAAAGACTGCCATATCTTAATGGCATTACGAGCTGCCAACATGGTTTAAAAAAGACCTCCGAGTGATCTGAACTTTTGTACTAGGAGCTCATAAATACCCACCTCAGAGTTTGTTATTTGCTGACATCATGGTGAGGGATAAATTTGTTCATTTCAAATTTCTCTGCAATACCAGTTATTGCAGAGAAATACAGTCACATGGAATCTAATCTATTCTAAAAAAGATAACTTCAAATGCTGCAAATATAATTTCCAGAAATCATCACAACTTTCATATAATAAATTTTCATGCTATCATACATTATGCTGGACAATATGACAAATGTCAAAAAGGGCCCAACATGTTCTTACCAAGAATTTTCTCAAACTCATCATCATCTACATCTTCTAAACTCTCCTCATCTTCATTCCGTTTCTGCCTCTGTTTGTCTATAGACAGCTTTTTGAAGTATCTGCAATTCAGATAAAGAACAAAGAAAGTGATTTGCATACATGTTCAAATTCATTTTAATATTAAGTAAGGTTCAAATAAAACTGTATTCGTTGGCAAAAAAAATAATAATAGTTGTGCTCTAATTAACCGCTTTCCTGCCGCCCTATAGCATAAATACTGCTACAGGGTGGCAGGGGTGCGCAAAATCATGTATAGATACACGTGACTTTGCATTTCCTACCTGCACCGCCATTGGCAGCCTCACCTGTCAATCACCGGGTCCCGGCCAGTGATTACTCACTCACTGGCACCCGGCGATTGCCTTGCATCACAGATGGTGGAGAGACCTGTATGTAAACAATACAGATCTCTCCCCTATCAGCTCCTGCACATTGCTTTGTATTGCTCTGCATAGCAGAGCAATACAAAGCAATGTGCTTACACAGTAAAGCACACACACAGCACACAGTTAACCCTTTGATCACCCGAGATGTTAACCCCTTCATGCCCAGTGTCATTAGTACAGTGTCAGTGCTTTATATTAGCACTGACCACTGTATCAGTGTCACTGTGGATGTCAGGGACAGTTAGTCAGTTCCCCCCAGTGTCAGAATGCCCACCGCAGTCCTGCTAAAAGTCGCTGATTGCCGCCATTACTAGTATTAAAAAAATATTCCATTATCTATACCGCCATTTGTAGGCGCTATAAATTTCATGTAAACCAATTAATTTACACGTATTGGGATTTTTTTTTTTTAACAAAACATGTAGCAGAATACATTTTGGCCTAAATTTATGAAGAAATTTGATTTTTTCAATTTTTTTACTGGACATATTTAATAGCAAAAAGTCAACAGCATTGGTTTTTTTCGCAAAATTGTCGTTTTTTTTTTTATTGTGCAAAAAATAAAAATACATAAATTTAATTTGGGTGCAGCGTTGCATGATCGCGCAATTGTCAGTTAAAGTAGCGCAGCGCCATATAGCAAAAAATGGCCTGGTCAGGTGGGCAAAAATGGTCCTGGTCTGGAGGGCAAGTGGTTAATAGAAATAGTTGTTTAAGGACATCACAGACAAAAATTTCCCAGCACACTTATTAGCTAGCCTGCAAACAAACCAAATTGACCCTGTCTAACAATTCATGTAAAAAGAGGCTTTCAAATATATGTGGAAGCAGCAGTGTCCACATCACAGCTCCTCTGTATACTGTGGTTCTAACTCTATAGTTTAAGAGTCTCCAAGTTGGAGCATATATAGCTGTGAATAAAATAAAGGCACACAAATAGAGCTTTCTTGTGATGGTAATTGATCATCACTGGGTATTTTTTTTTTTTTATATTATTAATATACAGGATTCATATAGCGCCAACAGTTTGCTCAGCGCTTTACAATATAACGGGAGACAATACCGCAACAATACAGTTCAATACAAGAGGGTTAGGAGGGCCCTGCTCCTTGGAGCTTACAATCTAAGAGGGAGGGGCTAGTGGTACAAAAGGTAGTAACTGTGGGGGATGGACTGGTAGGAGGAGTAGAAGATTCCATTATTAGCTGAGGGCAGGATAGGCTTCCC